AACGAGAATTCAAAGGTGCGGGGGTGTATATGCATTCCACATGCATTGCGACGAGGTCGCAAGACTGTCCTTCATAATCGTGGACACGACGAACTTGCCACGTAAGAAGTCGTCGATGGGGTGGCATGTCGCACTGCCCGTGGCCTGAAGCTTCAACTTCACGCCAGTCGCAGCGTCGATGGAGATCAGCTCGTAAATGTTCTCACCAAAGGTGTCGCTCGCCAAGGCGACTTTGGCGCCAACCTCAAACCCCTTGTCACTGAGCTTGTCCACTTGGTTCGACCACTTGCCCGAAGCGGTGTACTCTTTCACATCTGAGCTACGCGCCTGCCCTGTCACGGCTTTGGATGCGCCCTCGCGACCGACCTGCTTCCATGGGCTAGCAACTGCTTTGCCAACGTGCGTTGCCAACGCAGTGGTGAAGCTGACCCCGATGTCATTCAGCGTCTTGCAAGTGCCTAAGCGCTCATCGGGCTTGTTGAACACGAAATGAACTACGCGAACATCAGTCAATCCCACGATGGTGCCGTAGGCGACCGTGTCTGCCGTGATGCCCTCACCGCATGCGATCTGTCGCACTTTCTGAAGAAATTCATCGGCCACCATTACAATCGTAGACTTCTTATCGCTCGACAAGGCGGTCACGTCGCCTGGCTTCAATAGCATCTGATGGCCATCCCTCGCGAACTTACCCGTCGCACATGTCATCGCCTTCATGCATGCGAGCTTGAATGTCGCAGCGGCCCCCTCATGCTTGATCTGCACCTCGGCGAGAGACTTCGCCATTGAACCCGTGACCACGCACTGGGAGGTCAGCTGCCGCGTGAAGTCGCGAAGCTCGTTCAGAAAGATCGGGTTGCCGAGGCCGCCAGACAACTCCTTCACATATTTTACTAAGCCATCGATCTCCCCAGGAAAGAGAGAGCCTGCGCGAGTCGCCTCGCGGATCACACTATCCCAATCGATCATGGTGCCACCCGTGTGGTGTCGGTTGGCAAGTGCTGCGATCTTGTACATGAGACTCATGCGAGATTCGCATCTGGCAATTTGTTGGCCTGCATTGCCAGCCTCCTGAGCAAGATTACTCATCCACGGGAACTCCTTCACGAACTCGTACCGAAAGACCTTCCACTCCATTCCTTCGTCACACGCCTTAGCGTAGTCTGGTTGAACCTCCCGTAACCTCGTCAGTGACAATTTCCCTTGGTGCGAGATTCTGTCGAAACGCTCTGGCATGAACGTGGGTACTGGAACCCCTGCGTTGATGCAACGCAAACCCATGGATGTGTGGCCGCACGTATAGGATGCGAACTTTGCATCGCAATCATACTGCGGCAGCTGGCCCGCTGAGTCCTCCATCATTTTGAAATTGAAGTTCTTGATTGCATTGTACTCAGGCGTGCCCACTGGTGGAAGTTCCATGCAAGCTGGATTCTGGAGGGCTGAGTTCTTGAATCCATTTTTGAAGATCTTGGAAATCAAATCCATAACCTCGCTCGGAATGATTTCATATCCGCAACGATTCTCTGTGCACACCATCATATACTTCGAGTGTATTTTTTCTACCCTCAGGCAGTCTATGCCTCTTGCAATGCTGCATACGTCTTCAAGTAATGAGACCACCGCTGCATCAGGATGCAAGTACATGTCCTTGATGGCCAACATCTTGGGGCGGACCTCCGCGATCTGCTGTTCACGGGAGGCGTTCATCACGCCGCGTGCAGGAGGACGCCACAAGCGCCAGCAGCAATCCTCGCCCAAACGGCTGGAGCCCAAACTCTAGTGACATTCAAAAACATGTGCAACAGATGGTTGCGAATTCGAAATGATATGTTGCATTTGCAATGCACAACATTCTTGTAACGCTCGATACAATATTCTGAATGCGTTCGCACGCAAGTCTGGATCATGATTTCCGATATGCGTGATCCCGAAAATCAAAACACATGCATGCGTTTCTGGAGGCAACATCCAAGGAAAACCCGATGCAGCAGCTCTGTTTTCACGTAAGCCTGTAAAAGTTAGCGATAGCAACTTCGCTAACTCAAGCTATCTACCTCCAAATGCACCGCCCGAGTTAGCCGACTTAGTAACATTACTAATGGTTATAACTTACTTGCAACCTAGTTGCAACTTACTTATAACCTACTTACACGTGCTGCTAACAATTAGTAAGGCCGAGGGCCTTCAGGTAGAGGAGCACGAAGTGGCCTACAGTTGGCTCCGGGCATCCAAAATGTGGCCCGGGAATGGAGTTCTGGGAAATAGAAGAGCACGAAGTGGCCTACTGTTGGCTCCGGGCATCCAAAATGTGGCCCGGGAATGGAGTTCTGGGAAATAGAAGAGCACGAAGTGGCCTACAGTTGGCTCCGGGCATCCAAAATGTGGCCCGGGAATGGAGTTCTGGGAACTCGAAAAGCACGAAGTGGCCTACAGTTGGCTCCGGGCATTCAAAATGTGGCCCGGGAATGGAGTTCTGGGAAATCGAAGAACACGAAGTGGCCTACAGTTGGCTCCGGGCATCCAAAATGTGGCCCGGGAATGGAGTTCTGGGAAGTCGAAGAGCACGACGTGGCCTACAGTTGGCTCCGGGCATTCAAAATGTGGCCCGGGAATGGAGTTCTGGGAGGTCGAAGAGCACGAAGTGTGTGACTGTATGCGAAAAACGATCCCCCCCGGCAAACCCCAACGGCCCCCCAACTGCCACCCAACTGCCCCCAACGGCTGCCCAGACCCCCCTGTGGAGTAATGTTGAAGTAATGTTGAAGTAATGTTTGAAGTAATGTGCTGCTCTCTTTTTTTGTTTTTTTTTTTTTTTTTTTTTTTTTTTGTTTTTTTTTTTTTTTTTTTTTTTTTTTTTTTTTTTTTTTTTTTTGTTTTTTTTTTTTTTTTTTTTTTTTTTTTATTTTTTTTTTTTTTTGTGTTGGGGGTTTTTTTTTTTTTTTTACCTTATTAGAAACCTATCAGTCTTCGATGTTAGGTAACGACACCCCTCACGAGGATTCTGGCCCCGACGGGGGGAGGCAGAAAAAACCCTCTCCTCTTCTTTGAAGCCAGAATCATTGATTTTACTACGATTTTGGCCCCATTTTGGCCTTCCGAGGGGGCAGCGCTCCTTAAAGCTCCCCTCTTCTTTCAAGGCAAAATCATTGATTTTTCCGAAGGTTTTGGCCTCATGTTGCCCTTCTGAGGGGGCAGCGCTCATTAAAGCTCCCCTCTTCTGTAATCGATTCCCTCCTAGATGGCCCCAAGAAGCGCCCAGGAGGCACCAAGAGGCCCCAAGATGACCCCAAGAGGTCCCCAGGAGGCCCCCCAGAGGCCTCCAAGAGGCCCCCAAGATGCCCCCAAGAGGCCCCCAAGAGGCCCCAAGAGGCTCCCCCGAGGCACCCAAGACGCTCCTGGAAGCCCCTGGGGCCGCCAAGAGGCCCCCACGACGCCCCAAACGGCCTCCAAGAGGCTCCCAAGAGGCCCGAAGAGGCTCCCCCAAGGCACCCAAGACGCTCCTAGAAGCCCCTGGGGCCGCCAAGAGGCACCCAAGACGCCCCAAAAGGGGACGAGGTGCCCGAACGCCTCACGCCACGAGGAGCCCGAACGACTCACACCAGGACGAGGGGCCCGAACGACTCACACCACGAAGAGTCCGAACGACTCACACCAGAAGGAGGGGCCCGAACGACTCACACCAGGACGAGGCGCCCGAACGACTCACACCACGAGGAGCCCGAACGACTCACACCACGACGAGGGCCCCGAACGACTCACACCACGAGGAGCCCGAACGAGTCACACCAGGAGGATGGGCCCGAACGACTCACACCAGGACGAGGGGCCCGAACAACTCACACCACGAGAAGCCCGAACGACTCACACCAGGACGAAGAGCCCGAACGACTCACACCACGAAGAGCCCGAACGACTCACACCAGGAACAAGGGCCCGAACGACTCACACCAGGACGAGAAACCCCCAACGACTCAAACCACGAGGAGCGCTTTCTCTCCCTCCTCCTCCGCCTCGTCCTTCTCCCGCTCCCACCACACGGAGGATGTACAAGGAGGCGGGAGGAAGGAGGAACAGGGGAGATATGCGGGGGCAGGCGGAAACACGCCTGAAAAACACGACTGTCGGCATGCTTCGCAAGAATTGCTGTTTTGAGATGGGCTGGTGGGGATACGCGAAGCGTAAAGAATTCTTAAGACCCCTTCCCCCCCTCCCCTTTGTCTATGACACCCCCCCATTCCTCACTCGTAGGGCGAGTGTCCACACCGTGCTTCGTGTGGCCAGGGCCCCGTCCCCTATGAAGGAGGAACGCGAAGCGGAGGAGAAAGCGTGGAGGCAACCCAAGGTCACGAGGGGTACACCGTTGTGAGATTAAGCAACGAAGTGAGACCTGCACGCTTCTATCCCGTTCTGAAGGTAGACTCGGAAAGCCGGCAAAAGGATGGGCAACGTGGTTCCCCGTGGGAGAAGGACTGCCGTTCCGTAGCACATCGGCACGCTCACGAGAGAAGTAGCCGGACAGGCGTTTGACTCAAATCGGTCGGGCCCACAACCTCGGAGTCGAAATTCGTCCGGAGGAGCAGGAGGGAAGGTACCATCAATCGTGGCTCGTTCAGGGCAAGGTCTGGACACCTCAGGCGTATCCTCACGGTGCCCACTCAAATGACGTACATTCTCACAGTAGTGAGTGGGAGGGAGAGAGGGAGGGAGGGGGAGCAGGCTCCACCCCCTCCTCCTCTCCTCCTCCTCCTCCTCCTCCTCCTCCTCCTCCTCCTCCTCCTCCTTCTCCTCAACCTCCTTCTCCTCTTCCCCTTCCTCGTCCCCCTCCTCCTCCTCTTCCTCCTCCTCCTCCTCCTCCTCATCCTCCTCCTGCCCCCTCCGACTCCTCCTCCCCCTCCATCTCCTCCTCCTCGTGCCCCGCCTTTCGCCTCCCTCCCACTCCCCCCTCCCCCCCCCACCCTCCGCACCCCAACGGTTCCAGCGGTGCGGCGGCGGTCGACCACCTGCTTCCAGATCGTGGGGACCTCGGCCTTGGCCTCCTTCCCCAGCCGGGAGTCCACCTGGGCGCCGGGCAGCGGCCTGCGCCCACCAGGAGTCGGGCCCAAGAGCGCATGACAGCCGAAGCGCGCAGACTTCTGCGGCAGCTCCTGGGAGGCTCCCATTCCATGTTCTTGGCCTCTGCTCATCGACGCCGCTCGGAGCTGGATCAATGCCGATCGACGCTCGTCGACGCTGATTCTGCGCTTCTCATCGATGATATGATTGGACGCTGGCGCACGCCAAAGGCGCCCATGACCGGGGTTGCGAGGACACGCAGGAGGAGGAGGAGGAGGAGGAGGAGGAGGGAGGTAGGCGGAGTGAGGAGGAGGAGGAGGCGAGGCGGAGGAGAGAGTAGGGATTGGAGTAGGATGAGGATGGGGTAGGGAGGAGGGGAGGAGGAGTAGAGGAGAGGAGTTTGAAGGAGGGAATTGCGAGGACACAGGGCTCCCATGATTGCGCGCCGAAGAAGAGAGACTACCCTCTTGCAATCCGCCGCCCCAGCAAAGCAAATGGGTGACCGGCTCCTTGGTGCGAGCCGCTCCCCCCTCCCTCCCCCCTAGCCCCTCGGTCGCCCACCCCAACGAAATTCCTTTTTTTTTTTCCTGGCCCCCACTGAGGAGGAGGAGGGAGAGGAAGGAGGAGAGAGAGGAGGAGGAGGAGGGGAGGAGGGGAGGAGGGAGGAGGAGAGGAGGAGGAAGGGAGGAGGAGAGGAGGATGAGGAGGGGAGGAGGAGGGGAGGGTGAATTAGTAGGAGGAGGAAGATGATAAAGGATAAGGAGTGGGATGAGGAGGAGGAGGAGGAGGAGGAGGAGAAAGAAGGAAGAGGACCTTTTCCTTTTCCAGGCTCGCCACCGTGCCAGCGGCACGCTGGGGCGTGTCGGGGTGTCAGCCTGCTGACTGGCAGGGCGCCTACACTGCAGTGGGCCCTTCCCAGAAGTGTTCCCGACCCCAGTCAATCAAAAACGCGGCCCTCCTCCCCCGCACTCCTCCTCCTCCTCCCTCCTCCTCCTCCTCCTCCTCCCCCCTGCTCCTTCTCCTCCTCTCCCTCTCCTCCTCCTCCTCCTCCTCCTCCTCCTCCTCATCCACGTCCTATACTGCAGGGGGCCCCTTCCAGAAGTGCTCACTCACGACCCTAGTCAAACAAAAACGTCACCGCCACCGCCCCTTGATTCGCTCCCTGGCACCATTCTGGGCGTCAAGACCACTCCAAGACAGCCCACGATAGAAGACGCCCCAAAACTATCCAAAGAGAGGCCAACGATCTCACAACCACTCCAAGATCTATCCCCGAGGGGCCACAACAAGGCCCCAAGATATGCCCAAAGAGGCCTTCGGCGGGTCCCTATTAGGCGAGCAGTATTCAATATGTGGATCACACAACGTGTCCTGGTTTCAAACATTTTGGGCTGAAGATCGACTCGGGAAGCCGTAAGTGCGCCCCAAGAAGCCCAAACATGCCTTCAAGAGGGAAGAGAGACGAGGAGAACGAGGCTGAGGACAAGGAGGGGGATGTTCAAGACCCTGGCCAGTTCAAACAGAGCGCTGAACTGGAGCGGGTTCCAAACTCGAACTCTTTCCTGCTGCGCTGCTGCGCTGGCACGGTGGCGGGGCTTGCCGCAGGCAGCTGAATAAATCACTCCTCCTCGTCGCACCACCAGACGTGTCGGTAGAGAGTTCCAGGGATTTCGCATGGGACCTCCTCACCACTTGTGACCCTGAAGCTTGAAAAGCACAACTGCTACCCGGGTGGAGGGCGGGCCGTTTTCAAAGCGTGGTTCTCACCTCATCGCCGCGAACGTTCGTCCGACAAGTTCTCAACAACTACGGGACGTTTCCAAAAGGTGGCTGACGACTTCGCGCCGTGCACATTCGCTTCAACGTCCCCAACAATTACGCGCAAGGAGAGCGAATGGCCTTCAACATGCAGCTCTTGCTGATAGCCATGCACATGTTATGTAAAACTTGTGAGGGAAGAGGGCGGCTCGGTGTCAAAATGGAGCATCATCGATTAAACGTCGACTGGTCTTACAACTGGGAACTTCAAATCTGCAACAACTATACACCTGTAGGCTGGATCACTTCAAAACGGAGCTCCAAGTTATAAAATGTCCACATCCAATGGCACCCACTGCGAACAACTACACGGATGGAAGCTGGCTGCGTTTCAAGAGCGTGGTTATCGCTTGACACTTCCATGGGCTTCAGGGTCATATACCTTGGCAGTCCTCATAGCTAGAGGAGCGGATGGTGGCTCCTTTTTGAACATGGTGCCCTCGACCGAATGGCGGGACGCTTGTCTTTCACGGGTGGTGCTTCCTGCAGTGAGACTGAACACTTGCACGCACTTGCGAGGAGGGATTTCAGACGGCGACAGATTGCGAAGTCGTTGGCGCATCTTGGGTTTCGGCATCTCGGGGGCGCGCAAACATGGATTAGCGATCCATGAACTTGGCGAGCGGTCGCCAGATCCATGGATCGGGGGAGGTGCCCTCCCCAAAGTGCGGTTGGTGCCGCCCCGCTCGGCGGCGGCAATCAGCGACTTCCTGTGGAAACGGGACCCGTCGCTGATCCACGCCCCCTTGATCCATGTTTGCGATCGCCCGATAATCCTACTCTCAAGTCGTGCGTCTCCCCCTACAGTGGGATTTTCGACGAAAAATTGAAAAGACTTCCCAAATACTCCAAAAAGATAAAAAAAAAATACCCCCCAAACAGTCCCCAGACTATTTTTGGATTTTTTTCCCCAACCATCCTGTGGTGTTGGGTCCTCGTTTTGAAGAGACGGTGCCCCGCGTCTCCTTCCTCCTCCTCTCCTCCTCCGCCTCCTCTCCCCTCCTATCATCCTCATCGTCATCATCATCATCATCATCAGCATCACCATCATCATCGTCATCATCATCATTATCATCATCATTATCATCATCATCGTCATCAGCATCAACATCATGGCCGCCATCATAACCATCATCGTCATCATCACCATCATCGTCGTCATCACCATCATCGTTGTCCTCGTCGCCATCATCGCACGTTTCGTGGCCCCATACGGAGCTCCACCGAAGGTCCCAATGGGTGTGCCCGCATGCGTCCCGCACGCCCATTTTGGCACACCCCTCACACGTTTCGTGGCCCCATAGGGAGCTCCATTCACGGTCCAAGTGGCGCAGCTCGCATGGCGCCACCGCCCCATTTTGGCACACCCCTCACACGTTTCGTGGCCCCATAGGGAGCTCCATTTACGGTCCAAGTGGCGCAGCTCGCATGGCGCCACCGCCCCATTTTGGCACACCCCTCACAGATTTCGTGGCCCCTCAGGGAGCTCCTTTTGGCACACCCCTCACACGTTTCGTGGCCCCATAGGGAGCTCCACCTAAGGTCCACGTGGCGCAGCTCGCATGGCGCCACCGTCCCTTTTTGGCACACCCCTCACACGTTTCGTGGCCCCATAGGGAGCTCCATTTACGGTCCAAGTGGCGCAGCTCGCATGGCGCCACCGCCCCATTTTGGCACACCCCTCACAGATTTCGTGGCCCCTCAGGGAGCTCCACCTGAGGTCCAAGTGGCGCAGCTCGCATGGCGCCACCGCCCCTTTTTGGCACACCCCTCACACGTTTCGTGGCCAGACCTCCGGGGCGCGAGCAGTCCGCGGCGAGACCTCGGTCCTGTGGACTCTCGCCCTGGGCCGTCGGCTGCCCGGCGCACTGCTCCCTCGGCCGAGTCGCCCAGGTGTGATCCTGGACTGCGGCCGCCACGAGGTCGGGAACGGCAAGAAGGAGGACGACGACTGGTGGCTGGAGCTCTATGTGCTGCTCTCGCGCGCCACGCGCCACGAGGACCTCCTGCTCATGCGGGCGCCGCGCATCGAGTTCTTCCTGGCAGGACCGCCGGAGGGCCTGCGAAAGCAGCTGGAGCAGTTTGCAGCGCGCACGAAGCGGTGCAGGAGGGAGGCGACGGCCCTCGCCAGGGAGCTCGGCTTCACCGAGTTTATCCGCGAGGCCTGACCTGAGGAGCGCCCCCCCCGAGCCGCGCCTTCTCTCGACTGCCCGCATAATTGTTCGGCCTCGCGCCGCGGACGACCCGCGCGCGTCGCTGGGACCCTCTCGGGGCGACCAGCGCGCGTCGCGGGGATTCCGCGCGGCGCTCTGCTCAGCGCCTCGCTCGCCCGTCGTCGCTCTGCCCAGCGGCCGGAGCCTTGCCCGCAATCAGCCGGCCGGCTAGCTCTCTGTGCTCCGCGCAGCGGACGACCTGCGCGCGTCGCTGGGACCCCTCCGCGGCGACCTGCGCGCGTCGCGGGGACTCCGCGCTGCTCTGCGCCCGCAGCTTTGGATTTTTGGAGCGCGCAGGCAAAGAGGGGGGAAAAGAAGGGGCGGAAGCGGGTGCGATCCCCGTGAGGGGCGTGCCGACATGGGCGTCGCGGCGCGCGGGCGCTGCCGTCGGGGTTCCCGCGGAAGCTGCCTGCGGCGGCCACGCCCAGTGTCACGAGTGTTCGGACAGGCATGCTCGAGCCATTCACATTCATATACATTTACACTAGGCGTAGCCAAGATCGCATTCATGCAAATATACTCACTCCCACGCAGACCCATTCACACTCAGACTCTCTCGCGCTCTGGCTCACCCGCGTTCATTATTTCGTAATCTGACCTATCGTATTCCTTTGCGTTGTGTACCCCGCCATATTTCGGCATACCCCTCATGCGGTTCGTGGCCCCATAGGGAGCGCCACCGAAGAAGGTACTCACAATTGCGGCACTCACAACTGCATATGGTTGGGTCTTTCGCCAGGATAATTTATTATTTTGGGGTATGTCCTATTTTTCGTCAAAAATCCCCCTGTAGGGGGACACGCCCGACTTAATCCTACTCTTCCCTGCAGTCGTCTTCGTTCTCACATCCCCCGCGCGCGGCTCGAGGAGGGAGCCGGAGCAGAGCCAGAGCGGTGTTGTGCTGCGGCCCCCTGGAGGCGCCGAGGGCACACGCACGGAGAAGTACCCGCCACGACCTGCGAGCAAGACCGCCA